AGCGGGGAGAGCGCGTAAGAGGGGGGCTCTCTAGGAAAGTGAAGATATGGGCTTTCACGGCCAGGTACTCGGGTGTGTGCACAGAGGGACACTGTGGGGAAAAGGCTCGAGCAGGTGGCCCCAAAGCATAGGACATCAGGGACAGAGGGAGGAAGGACTGAAGGCCCTGGCACCATGGTTTTAGAGGGAACTCAAGTAAATGACAAATTGGGAAACTGGAGGAACATTAGAGAGTACCAGTTTCTGCAGACAGGAATCCTAGAACTTGACAAGGGCTGTTACCCCTCTCTACCTGCCACCCCTGAGAATGGCCCTGACTATAGCCCAGCTTCTTCCAAAGGCCACCAGCCACCCGGGTGGGTCTGCAGACTGAGTTCAGTCCCCCCCACCCCACCCCCAGCCCCTGCTGAGGATTCCTCTGAGCTCCCGCTCAGCATGGAGGGCCTAGGGATGAGGCCAGGGGAGCTCAGGGCATGGGGATGGAAAGGAAGCTCTTTGCTGAGAGAACCAGGCAACCAATAAATATTTAATTCTCCTCTTTGCTTTTATCTCCTGACCCACTGAGACAAATCAGCTCATTAGGCAGTGATTCCCGGAGCTCAGAAAGCAGAGTGTGCCTGGAAAGATGGGACAAGAGTGGGGAGCAGTTTCAGAGCCCCTTGGAGTTGCCAGTGTTCCCTCAAACCATGCCACATGAAGGCCTTGGGAAAGGACCACTACATGGCTTGAAAACATCCCTGATAGGATTAGGTCAAGTCTCCTGTCTCAGGTCCAGGATAGATGAGTAGTAAGGCCCAGGACAGGCATATGTCAGTCGATTCTGGGACCAGGCTCCTTCCGGGCCCAATTTTCCATGGGGCTCTGGGGCTAATTACATTGCAGTGAGAGCTGACAGATGATTTTCAAGGCTCTGGTGGACACCTCTTTCTGACAGTTGAAGGGACAGCTGGTGTAGCCTAGGATGCCAAGATGAGCTTGGGAACAGACCTCTCTGTGAGGCCGCAGGGCCTTGGGTGCTCCCTTCTCATCCCCGGTGAGAAGTTAGGCCAGAGACACTGACATGTGGATGCTATTTGAGGGCAGCCTGCTAACCCATTGCTCCCTGCTGACCCTCTGTTTCTTGGATCACTTCCCCCCATTTCGCTTCCTCCTGCCAGCTCCTTGCTCTCCCTGAGGCCCCCTCTGAAGCAGTAGGAGGGAGATCAGGCTCTAAATAAATCCACTGGGCTCATCTCCCTCCTCTCCTTCCCCCGTGCCAGGCAAGAGAGGAGCTGCAGCCTGCCCACACACTCACCAGGCAAGGGGGGCAACCACCAGGGCACTGAGCCAACTCTAGCGACTCCAGAATACTGTGACTTGGGCTGTTTGGGCATCGGGGAACTAATACCCTAACATGTTCTACAGGGTGTTCCTACCTTCATAATTGATACCAGGCCAGCATGGGTAATCCCTGAGGACATGGGAATTATGGAAAGTGGTTTCCCATTCAGAACACAACTACAACTTAGGGAGAGACCCTGTTGTTCTTGCCTAGCCAGGGTTAAGAGGCCATCCAGCCTAAATACGCCAGATAAAGGCATCCAGAACTAAATTAGGCTGAGAGCTAGCATCAGTAGAGGTCAAAACCACACTTCTCCCAACACCTGCTGGGTACCCAGGAAGTATCTGATACATATACAGCAGGTGGTCATCCTGCCTGGCCTCCAGCCTTTCTCACCTGCTGGTCTCTATCCCCATAGCCAGCTCCACACCCTGCAGCTAGCCCTTACGTCTTGGGAGTGAGGTCCCTCACTCCACGTAAAGGTTTTTTTCAGGGACTCATCTTGTTCTGCCTTGGCTGGAGAGATGTGGTGCAGCAGACAGCCTCTACTTGTGCAAAACAAAAGTCCTTCCCAGTCTGGTGGTGTCTTGAGCCTTTGGTTTACAATGACACAGTTCAGATTCCAGGGCTGGCAGACAACAGCCTGACCAGCCCTCCACACAGGCAGGGCTGGACAGAGGCAGGGTCAGCAGCAGGGAAGTATTTTCTTCTCCAAAGAGAGTCTGGCTTCTGCTGCCTGTGGGGTTACAGCCCACAGGGACTGTTCTTCAACGGGAACACTCAGAACACACCTTTTCCTTACACACATCTTTTTCCCTTTTCTGGGCCGCTGGCAGTCAGAATTGAAGGAAGAGTCCCTCTGGGTAGCTGCACATAAGGAGAAACTGAGTCGGAAGATTCCCTTTTCCCTAACCCAGTTGCCATAACTTTCAGCTGCTTGTCTCAAAGTTGAACTCCCCTTATTTGTTTGGCATTTTCCTCAAGGCCTTGAAGATGAACTCTGCAACCCTTCATATGTACACTCCTTACCCCAAGACCCTACTATGAGCAGGACTCAAACACTGTCCTTGTTCACATTACCAAAGGCACCCCATCCCCAAGGTCCTGTATCTCAGCCGGGTTGCCTGGCACCAGTGCAGCCTCCCTCCAGGGCCTGCTATCCCCTGGGCCCAGGGGAAGGATGGGGAGCTACAGGCCAGGTGGTAGGTGTGATGGCTTCACCTGTACCTGGGGAGATAGCTTTGTATTGCTCTCTCGTTCCCTGTCGTCTTGCTGCTCACACCTGGCCAGTTTCCTAGCAGGTGTGGGAAGAAAGAAAGTAGTGTGGGTGTGGATGTGAGGGGGTGTGTGTACAAAGGAGTGGTAACTTCTAAGAGTCTGCAGCTTTGGGCCCAATCTTCACACTGCAAGGCAAGTGCTCAAACATTTAACAGATTTCAAAACCTTGTTAGAAGCCTGCTGTGGTTGGCACACCAGTATCTGGGAGGTAGAGGCAGGCAAATATCTATGTTTGGTCTATATAGAAAGTTCTGGGCTAGCCAATGCTACATAGTGGACCCTGACTCAAATATGAAGAACAAAAAACTTTGATAATCAGAGTCTTAGTGGTCAAATGGCTACATCCTGACAGGGCCAACCAGCGTGAGTGTGTGTGCCTGCCTGCGTATGTGAGTGCATGTGTGTAATCGGGAGAACAACTTTAGACATGGATTCCATGGATTTAACGCAGGTCATCCTGGTTAAGCAGTAGATGCCTTTACTTTCTGAGCAATCTCACCACCTCCTACCCCATCTGGCTTCTTTTTTTTCTTTCTTGAGGGTCTCAAGTAGCCCAGGATGGCCTTTAACTCCCTCTCTAGCTGCAACTGAACTTGAACTCCTGATCCTCTACCTCCCAAGTGCTGGAATTACAGGTGTGCACCACCATGCCTGGCTCTGACTGGCATCTCTTGGCATCTCTTGTACTCCTGCCAGTTGTCTTAAAGGGATAAGGTCCAGGCTGCTTCAGGCTAGCATGGATAAGAGGGTCTGGTTCCCTGGATTCAGCGCCATTTCAAATACATCATCTGTAGTATCTCCACCTTCCCTCTGCTTCAGAGGACACAAGCAGAGTGGGAGGGGGGAGAAAAAAGTGGAGATTCTGTTCAGAGTTAAGGTATGGATAGGTATGTGGAGCCAAAGGAACCCTGATCTTTGCACATGTGGACTGGGCCAGCCTCCCTGTAGCCTCAGAGACACTGGGAGGCACACAAGCAGCTTAGAGGGTCGAATCACCCCCTAGAAGGTGGAGAAGTGGCACCTATGTGGTCCCTTTTACACAGACTCTCCAATCCCAGGGTTCAGCTGATTCCTACACCAGCCGCCCCTCTCTGGACTCAGACGTCTCCCTGGAGGAGGACCGGGAGAGTGCCAGGCGAGAAGTGGAGAGTCAGGCTCAGCAGCAGCTGGAGAGAGCCAAGGTATACCTGCCGGCAGGGGGCCAAGCTGGGTGCAAACCTGAACAGGATCTTGGGTCTCCAGGGTCATGTCAGGGTGTGCTTAGGTGTAGAAAAGTGTGTGTGGCAAGCAAGAGGCTTCTCCCATGAGATGTCTCAAGGTGTCTCTCACTGATGATCAAATTTCCCAGCACAAACCTGTGGCATTTGCTGTGAGGACCAATGTCAGCTACTGTGGGGTACTGGATGAGGAGTGCCCGGTCCAGGGCTCTGGAGTCAACTTTGAAGCCAAAGATTTTCTGCACATTAAAGAGGTAATCAACCTTATTCTCCCCAGAAGCCTACTCTAGCACTTAATTCTCCTGTTGCTGTCCCAGGCTCCAGTGCCTCTTTAGTTCTAGATCTAAAATAAGCCCCCAGCTCCTCCAGTGTCATCTGTTGTGCACACCTGTATACCCCTCATACATAGACCTGATTCCAAGGGTCTCCATCATTCTCAGCCCTGATCCTAGTTCTGTGTCTAAGTGGGAAGTTAGAGTAACCAGTGGTCTCCTGTGACATCCGTGATGCCACACTGCTTGTGGCTTGAACCCTGGCTGCACTGTTCTGAGATGTCATCATACTCTCCTCGGCCCTTCCTCTGCCTGCCTTCCTTACACCAGCTTCCCAGTCTTGCCTGGCTCAGAAGCCTGGGTGAGCGCCTCCCTCTCACAGCTCCTGATCATTCTCATCCATTCAGAAATACAGCAATGACTGGTGGATCGGGAGGCTAGTGAAAGAGGGTGGAGACATCGCCTTTATCCCTAGCCCCCAACGCCTGGAAAGTATCCGGCTCAAACAGGAACAGAAAGCCAGGTGAGGACAGAGTTGAAACTCAATAAACACACAGCCCAAACACATACACCTGACCACAGAACACAGCTGCACGTTTACACCGTGCAAGTCCACACGCACACGGAACATACAAGCTTGGCTGTCATAAAGGTAGTTACTGATTTGTAAAATATTAAGTAACTGACAGACACATTCATGTTTTATCACCCCCCTCCCTTCTTCAGGAGATCTGGGAACCCTTCTAGCCTGAGTGACATTGGCAACCGGCGCTCTCCTCCTCCATCTTTAGGTAGCATCCCCTCAGCTTACCCTCCTTGGGTAGATGGGCAAATAAGTCACAGTGGAAAGGGGTCCTCCTCAGTGAACTTTATGGGAAGGGGCTGATAGAGGGATTGGAAAAGCAGGGAGAACCATCATCTCCCCTGGGGAAGGGACTACCACACCCCCCAGGGCCTTTTCCCTTCACCAACTTTAATCTTTTATTTCCTTTTCCAAAAAGCCAAGCAGAAGCAAAAGCAGGTAAGTCAGAAGGGGACCTGGGCCAGGGGTGGGGGCCATGGATTTTGGTTCTGGGGACCCTTCTGGTCAGTCACTGCTGGCATCTGCAGAACAGAGGGGAGGGGACCCAGAACTTTTGACTCTGTCCCCAGAGCAATCAGAAATTAAGTGGGCACCAAGACCAAGATTTTGTCTGACCTCCTGGCCATTCTGCAGGCGGAACATGTTCCCCCTTACGATGTGGTGCCCTCCATGCGGCCTGTGGTGCTGGTGGGACCCTCTCTGAAAGGTTATGAGGTAAGAAGTCTCTTCTGAGTCACCAGAAGGTTTCAAGGGCAGTGGGAAGTGTCTGTGTGGAGGGTGTGACCTCTACTTAGGGACACTGCCGCCTCCTGGAGTTCTCTGTCAGTGCCACACCCTCTCCCCCAGGTCACAGATATGATGCAGAAGGCTCTCTTCGACTTCCTAAAACACAGGTTTGATGGCAGGTAAGCTGCCCTGGACTGGAATGGAATGAGAATCAGGAAGAAAATAATTTCTTCCTCATGCCCAGAGCTGGTCTCCTCTCAAGGAGAATTAAGAGAGCTGGGGAAGGAGGCCTTGGGTTTGAAGGCAGCTGTGCCCCTCCATACCAGGATCTCCATCACGAGAGTCACAGCTGACCTCTCACTGGCAAAGCGTTCTGTGCTCAACAACCCTGGCAAAAGGACCATTATCGAGCGTTCCTCTGCCCGCTCCAGCATTGGTGAGGACTCTTGTTCCCACTTCTAGTCAGGATGTCTCCCTTCCTTTCTTCCCCCGCCTGCCCCAGGGCTGCCCTCTTGCCCGGCCCACTTCCAGCCCACCATATAGCAACCCTCAAAGCCCTGAATTAAGCAGTGGGCAGAACCCCTGGTGAGCTGCTCCCCTTCCTCAGCTGAAGTGCAGAGTGAGATTGAGCGCATTTTCGAGCTGGCCAAATCCCTGCAGCTAGTGGTGTTGGATGCTGATACGATCAACCACCCAGCACAGCTAGCCAAGACCTCGCTGGCCCCCATCATCGTCTTTGTCAAAGTATCCTCACCAAAGGTAAGTGAAACTGGAGTGAATTGGGGTCCCACAGAAGATGCCCCCTAGAAAATAGTGCACTTCTGCTTGGGCCCTACCTGGAGTGACCATTTCCTTTGCGCCCTTAACACCACACTGAGTCATCCTCACCTGCTACTTACTAATGTCGTACGGCAAGTTGGGTATGTGCCTAGTTCCTTCCAGGCCCAGCTCTGCCCAAGTCCCATGAGACTCTAGCCTATCTCTGCCCTCCTACTCAGGTACTCCAGCGACTCATCCGCTCCCGAGGGAAGTCACAGATGAAGCACCTGACTGTACAGATGATGGCATATGACAAGCTGGTTCAGTGCCCCCCGGTGAGTGCCTGGGTCAGCAGCACCTATTCCAGGGTGCAGGAGCTGCAGGGCTGCTGCTGAGGAGCCAACCTCCCTGTCTCCTTCCTCTCCAGGAGTCCTTTGATGTGATTCTGGATGAGAACCAACTGGAGGACGCCTGTGAGCACCTGGCTGAGTATCTAGAGGTTTACTGGCGAGCTACCCACCATCCAGCACCTGGCCCTGGACTTCTGGGTCCTCCTAGTGCCATCCCTGGACTTCAGGTAACCCTTTCCCGTGGTCACAAATGTGCAGGCTTATGCAAGGGATTGCTGAGCTGTCAGCTCTGCTTCAGCTTGCTCTACAGACCCAGGGCATGGAGGTCAAGAACTTCCTGATTGAAGAGCAGTGAATGAGATGGGCCTTCCAGGGTCAAAGGAAACATTCTCTCCACACCTTTCTCCCAGTCACTTTTTCAGGGAGAGCCTAAGTTTGCAGGAGCCCAGACTCCAGCTTTATCTGGCCCAGAAGAATGTCCCAGCTTACTTCTTCCTTGCACTATATAAAACAAAACCTGGGAATTGAGAATAGAGGGGGAAGAACCCCACCTCCCTGCCAGAGTCCTAGGATCAAAGGCCAGGTCTGCCTCACCTTACTCAGAGCTATTGTGTGGCCCCCAGAACCAGCAGCTGCTGGGGGAGCGAGGTGAGGAGCATTCACCCCTGGAACGGGACAGCTTGATGCCCTCAGATGAGGCCAGTGAGAGCTCCCGCCAGGCCTGGACGGGATCTTCACAGCGCAGCTCCCGCCATCTGGAGGAGGACTATGCAGATGCCTACCAGGGCCTGTACCAGCCTCACCGCCAACACACCTCGGGGCTGCCCAGTGCTAATGGGCACGACCCCCAAGACCGGCTCCTAGCCCAGGACTCGGAGCACGATCACAATGACCGGAACTGGCAGCGTAACCGGCCTTGGCCTAAGGATAGCTACTGACCACCTCCTGCCCTACCCTGGCAGGCACAGGCACAGCGGCTGGGGTAACCACCTCAAGCAGGTTGGAGTTAAACTGGCATTAGGCTGCCACTAGGTTCAGCTCCCACAACCCCCTGCCCAGCCCCTGGTCCAGGGCTGACTGTGGTCCCAAGGTTCTGGGAGAAGCAAGGGGCCCCCTCACCTCCTGGGCACAGTGACCCCGTAGGTTCTCATCCCAGGTACTAGCTGTGATCTGCATCCTCGGCACCTTCCTCACCTGCACAAGAAGCTGCCCCAGTGGGCAATGATCTCAGGCCAGGATCACTTAGCGGGGAACTTCCAACCAGAATGGATGCCCCTCTAATAACAGGAGAGTGGAAGTAATGGCAATATAATCTAAGCCCTAACAAGGTACTCCACTCACCTCACTGCCACACATCAGAAATGAAACAATCAGAGCTCAACATGGTGGCACTCATGTACCATCAGCTGGGGTGGGCATTTACACCTAAGACAGGAGCAGTGCAGGTGAGGCTGGACAGACAACTCACAGCGGAAGCTCTGGTAGAAAAAGGCCCTCCTCTCCAAACCAGGAAGCTTAGCATCTGGCAAGACTAGGGAACTGGAGCATGGTGAAGCCAGAAGCCAGCCTGGACTGCGGGGGAGGGAGGAACAGCTTCCGGCCCCTTGCCTTTCTCATTCATTTGCCCTTGCATCTGTCATTTCTGTTCTTTTCCCTCCATGCCTCCTGCAAGATCAGGGCTCCCTGACTCATAGCTGCCGCTTGTTAAGTTAGGGTTAGAGAGGATATTAGGACACAGTGGATGGCCCCCAGAGGCTGTCTGCCTGGCTACCCTTGCCTTATGGCTCTAGCGTGTGACCCACAGAGCATGCTCCATCGAGAACCTGCCCCACCTCATTGTCATCTCCAATAAAACACCATGCACAGTCCCTTGCATGTCTCTGGTATGTTGGCTTGTGTGGCTCTATATTACTGTGTGGCCTAAGTCTGCAGAGTTGAAGTATTCTGGCCCCTTCTCTCCAAGGATTCCTGGGAAGGGGAAACAGCAACTGCAAGAGGCACTGTATTTGTGGGCACACCACACCCCAAGCCCGATGTCTGGAGGGAGGGAGGTAGCAGTACAGAAGAGACTTGCTCTGAGAAGTGAGGAAGCATCCTAGTCAAAGCTTCCTACTGCCCCCGCCTCAGGCCAGAGGGCTCCACAAGTAGCTACAACTTGAATTCACATGCTTGCCTACCTTTGAGGGGCAAAGAAAGTATTTGCCTGAAATGGAGGGCAGGGCTCTGTGGTCCTCTTCAGACCTAACTCAGCTGAACCAGCCCTTGAGACCGCAAATGCTGACTCTTCTATCACTGCCATCTTACCATGAGCAAGGGAAACCAGGATCAGGCACAGGGTGGCTGAAGTGTGGCTCCAGGTATCCTGGACAAAGCCCCAAGTTACAGAGAAAAGACACTGAGATCCTGCTGCCATGCTTTCCCATCTGCCCTGAAGTGTCACCTACAGATAAATCTACTAGTGGAGAAACTAGGCCTTTCCTTCATTGCGGGTTTCTTTCATTTTCTCAGCCAACCCGTGTTCAGCCAATTCTGTTCTTGCTGACTTCTGTGGTTCCCAGAGAGAGGATTAGCCAGAACTAGACACAACCTTAATTAATATTCATGGATTTATTCTCAGAACATACAAACTTATCTTCTCAGAGAATAGAAAACAGAAATTTCACTCAGTGACGTATGATGGACACAGTCAGCTCATCCTGTCCCCATATCTAAAAAAGATTCCCTGGGGGAGGGACGCCTAGAGTGCACAGCACCCTGTGGCATAGGGCTGTGCACAGCTCTAAAGGCTCTCAACCTGTTGTCAGAGTGACAGAGAGTCCAAGGTCCACAATTCTCATGATGCCAGATCCCCTGGGTCAGTTAGGACAACAACGTATTGCAGTGCACAGTCACACATGTGCTGAAGGAAGTCCCCTCCAGGTGGCCAGGTGTTTGTTCAGGCTGGGGGACAGTGCTAGACAGCTGCCCTGTAACCAGGACAGCAGCAAGGCTGCAGGGGCAGAACTGGCCAAACCTGACATAGTCTGCTCCTCCTGCCTCCTACATCTCCCTGTCCCTATGGAGCCCACCTCACAGGCTTCCAGACCAGGGAATCCGATTGTTCCCTAAACCCCCAGAATACAAGAATAAGAGCCTGGAGAGAGGGGTGAGGGCTTAAAGGAGCAGGCACCCGCTTCAGGGCATGTCTTTACATCCAGTCAAGAGCTGTGTCAAGCGAAGATGGTCTCTTCCCTGCGCTTCTTGGTAAGGATGGTACCTGGCTTGTGCTGGGCATCTGGGTGATTTGCTAGCTCTGGAGGGCAAGATGACACTGGACTCTCTAGGATAGCTTGCTTCAGTTCATAGAACACAGCTGAGTCCTCTTTGGTGAGGAAGGTGATGGCTACACCACTCTTGCCTGCTCTTCCCGTGCGGCCAATTCGGTGAATGTAATCTAGGGAGCAAAAGGATGTCACTCCAAACCAAGCCAAATGTCCTGGTGAGTGGTATCCACTCCACCCATGTCCCACAGCCTCCATGGGCAAGCAACCCACCTCCTGCTGTCTACCCAGTGAACCCATAGTATTTGCCACTCTGTCTCCCATTCTCACTGCTGACTCATCACATGGCAGTGTCATCCTAGACACTGGGACAATATCATTCCAGACTACAATAGTTTTTCAGTGCACCCTGACTCTCAGGAGGAGTATATAAATAGTCTCTCCTTACCCCGAACTGAAGCCACCTTCACTGGTACTCACCTTCAATATTTTTGGCCATATCATAGTTGACAACCATAGACACGTCTTGGATATCAATACCACGACCAGCCACATCTGTAGCCACCAAAATATCCTTGGCTCCAGCCTTGAGATTGGACAATGCAAATTCTCGCTGCTCCTGGCCTTTTCCACCATGCAGTGTACAGGCATTGTACTGTTGGAACAACAACGGTGAGGTAGAACGCAATGGGCTCAGGGGAGACGGAAGGAAAGAGGGAGTGGGAAGGAGGAAGACGGGTGTGGGGGGGTAAAAGATAGAGCACAGGAAGCTAGAGAAGTTCAGTGAGGAAAGAACACGTGAGCTACAGCAAAAAAATGAAAGAAAACAAGGAGAGCTGCGGAGGGGCAGACAGGGTAGGGTGAAAGAGAGCAATCTGGTGAGATGAAGAGCCGGTGGGTGACAAGTTCTGAAGGAGAATTCCGGCCAGGGACTCAGCCTGGAAACCAACCAGGAAGATTAAGAACACCAAGAGCTGAGTGGTGAGGCCACCTTTGCCTTATTAACAGTTCAAGGACTGGTCCTCAGCACCTCCTCCCCTCACCACGCCCTCTCAGACAGCTCAGACCCACTCTGTCCCACAGCCTCGAACTCAGCCAGGGTGTGTCGCTCTGGCCCCACCCTATTACATGGAGACCCACAGGGGTTTTGGCCGCTGTTGCTGGAATAGAAGGGATTCCTAGTAACTGATCAGGTACTGCCTTCCTCAAACCATGCTTTTCTTTTGGTTCTGATTTGTTAGATGCTGCAGAGATTAAACAGTGAGGAGAGCTGACATTGCCCATTCCCTCCTTAGTGTCAGAGAGCAGCAGCACCAGGTTAGCCTTTGCTCTGCCTGCCAGACATACCCCCATCTTCTCAAGAGACTTGGCCAACACGTCACAACCCTTCTTCTGGTTGACAAAAATGATGATGGGTGGATCAAAACCTTGTTCCAAAATTGCGAGCAGCTTTTTCCTGGGGGAGGAAGGGGAAGAAAAATGAGATGCATAGTACCCCAGACCTAGTGAAACACTCAACCATAGCAATGAACAAACTCCAGTGTCCTCAACAAACAGAAGCTCCTCAGCAGCAAAGCAACCACCCCACAGCCGCCCCACGATGGAAAAAAATGTCAAACCAAAGTCCCCTTTCCACCCAGGGCTCCCAGCTCTGCTGCTCCATACCTCTTTTCTGATTCTGACATGAGGAAAACTTTCTGTTCCACTCGCTCATGGGGCTTGCCTGCAGAGCCAATGTACACCACAGCAGGACGCCGAAGATAGCTCCTGGCTAGCCGTTCCACCGCTGGGGGCATCGTAGCCGTGAACATGACTGTCTATAGAACAGGAGGTTTAGCCCTGGGCCCAGGCAGATGGAACTACATACCCTACTGTCACCACAAGCAGCTTGTCTCAGACTTAAATCACTCATGAGTCCTGCTATAAATCTGATACTTGTCACTTGGGAAACTGTTTTTTACCTTTTTATCTATGGAATGAAGGAAACATTTGCTACCATCTGTGATCCAGGTAGCATTGTGATTCCTTACTCTTGCTTAGCTTTTTTGAGACAGGATCTTGATATGTAGATCTGACTGGCCTGGAACTCACATGTAAAACAAGCTAACCTTAACCTCTGGCAATCTTTCTGCCTCCACCTCCTGAACACTAGGATTTTAGGTGTAAGCTACCATGCCTGGCACTCTAAATAGCATGATTCTCTAGAATCATCTTTCTAGGGTAAGCTAAATGGCTCTACCCCTGGACTGTCAGAACTGTACACAGGCATCATTAGCATGCTGGAAGCATGTGCACTAGACCCACAGAGGACTACAGTGGCGCTGTTAGCATGCTGGAAGCATGTGCACTGGGCCCAATCTTCACAAAGAGGGTCTGAAAACAGACTTGGGAACTGGCCCCACTTCTCCCAAAGAAGTTTCCTTACTTGGCGGTACTTATGTTTTCCTGACTCAAAGTTGGCCAACATCTTCTCTGGGTCCTCAGCCTCATCTGTGTCCGGCTTCTGGTTGCTGACAGGCATGTGTTCCAGGATCTTCTGCACATCTGGCTCGAAGCCCATGTCGATCATCCTGTCTGCCTCATCCAGAACCACATAGGTACAGCGGCTCAGCACCAGGTAGCGGTTTTCCAGCACATCAATGAGACGTCCTGGGGTGGCGATCACAATCTGGGAGATACAGTGTAATCATATATGGCCTTAGCAGGAGACTTCCCTCTTTTCTCCCTGCTACGAACTATCTACCCACTCAGCAGCAGACCTTCAATGCTAAGGAGGGTGGACCCCAGCCTCCAGTCAGATTTGCTACTTAAGACTCCCAAGAACTGACATGAAGTCATATGCTACCTTCTGTTTCCTTCAGGAATGAATGGGGTTCCTGAGTAAGATCTAGGGGTTAGACAGGTGGCATAATCAAGAGGGACTTCCTTAGACAGAAAAGAGGCTAATGCTGTGGAAGGAGCTACATGGAGGGATTAGGCTGAAAGTCTACACAAGGATCACTCCACTCTCTTAGCAGACACTTCAAAGGATCTCTTCATCTATGGTTTGACTATGAGTAATAAGAACACAGGCTTTGACTATGAACCATTCCCTCCTCCATATGGCCACTGACAGCCATGTGGGACTGTAGACAAGTTACTAACCTCATCTTCATCTATAAAACAGTGTACAATCTATATCACTACCTATCCTCATATGGCTGTTGTGATGTCCATTAGTTATTAGCATTACTAACTAGTATATATTACTATATTAATTAATGCTCATTTGAAAAACAAACCTCACAACCCATGCGTAGCCTGAAGCCTTGATCTTCTCTGGAGATGCCACCAATGACAGCCACAGTGCGGATACCTAGTGGCTTCCCAAATTTGATGGTTTCTTCCTCAATCTGCTGAGCCAACTCACGGGTAGGAGCCAGAATGATGGCATAAGGGCCCTGGTCTGACTCTTCGATCCTATGGTAAATGGAGCATCCCACAGGTTCATAAGGTTTGGTCTTGTCCAACCACAGCACAAGCAAGACAAAGTCACTCTTCAGGGCAGCTTTGGGAATGGGCAGGCTGCTGATCCCATGTCAAAATCAGATTACAAGATAACCAAGTTCTCCAGGGAGATCCTTGCT